ACTGTTTAGATGCATAGAGTTTTTTATACGCTGAATAGAATGGTGGTATTTGTGTTCTTGTTGAAGCTAGGGTACGTAAAAGCAGAGATACGGCCAATGATAACACCCTGATAATGACCAAGGAAGTCAGACCCAAGAATTGCACCATAAGCTAAATTTTCTATGATGTATGCATAAAATGTATAGTTGTAGGATAGTTAGATGGTTTATTGAACTTTAGAACTTACAGCCTCAGAAAATTTCACAGCTGAATTACGCTAAGTTTAACAGATATAAGATATTAAGAATATATGCTATGAACCCTATTTACATTGAAAAATATTTAAAAATTCAAATCAATTATCTAAAATGTATATTAGAATTGTGCATGATAAAACTGTCATAGCTATGGGCTCAAATACTTTGTTAGGCCTAAAAAAGGTTATCCGGAGCTCTTTGTATTTGGTTTCTATTGTGTACTAGCCAATTTGAAAGGGGACTAATGCCACACCTTTGATGGGCATGTTTTCACCACTAACAGTTCTGATAGTTTGTTGAAATGTTTTACTGCTAGGCATTTTCTTGCAATTAGGGAATTTGTTAAATAACTTATCACTAATAGTGGTGACAAATGCTCCAGTGTCGCATAAAAGAAACGTGGGTATACCACTTACTTGACCTTGCAAGAATGGACAATTATTGCGAAACTCAAATGTAATAGAATTAACAGCATGCACAGAGGTTTTTTGGACAGGATATGACAGGCCTTCCAGGTCAGAATTCAAAACAACTACATTTGGTTCCTTACTTGTTTCTTTATTAATTAACTTCATATGACAGATCTACTAGATCATTACAGACTGGTACATCTATTGCACGAGGTAAGGGACATTGTTCTCTAGCACTAAATTTGCCTTGCTGTGGTACATTTACACATGGTGACGCGGTCACCTCAAAACCATCTGTACACATTTGACTCACTGGGTTTACATTTGTTGTCAATGTATCACAATTTATCTTCGGTAGGCCAGAGGAGTTATTCTCCTTACATAACACGCTAAGTGACTTGTTTGCAGGTAAACTAAAATCAATATCTACAAGATCAGGATGTATATATTCACACTTGTTTCAACAGGAAATTGGGGGTTGTCAAAATCATGCTGCCCTTTTACTTTTATATTAATTAGCATATCTGATACATAATTAAATTTGTCAGGTAAATTTTCAACAACATTTTCATTTAACATTTCGAGATATTTGGATTCCTCAAATTCTTCAAAAATCATTGCTTCCCTATCGTCCCGGTATAAACAAGCAGCCATTAGTTTCCCGATTCCGGATTAAATGGGTTGTTGGTAGTTCGCCCTTGTTGAGGATTGAATGTGGGAGCATCAGGATGAATGTTTGAATTAAATTGGGGTCTTTGTACAGACCGGTGTTGCATGCCAGGACGAGTATATGAATTAAACCGAGATGAAATTTGATGTTGCATGCTGGAACGTATGAGAAAATTATGCTGAGAAACTTGTGGGAGCTGATGTTGTATTCCTCCAGCTCCACGAGCAATATGGCCAACTTTATTACATTTGTTGCATATGGGTAAGCCATCAGTTGTACGATGGTTACGGTTAGAAGGAACACCAGAACTTGATGTCCGGTTTGTTTTGGTGAGGTATTGTGTTTGTCGCCGCACCTCCTGTCGAACTAATTTTGCTATGTTATTTGAGTCATGCATTGAGCCAGGTGGTGAGGGATGGCGTGAACGGTATTGACCATTGTTGGAATTACTCACGACCAGGTATCCCAAGTTTCAAATAATTAAAGTGCCCCTAAACTTTTAATAACTGACTGAAGCTGGGATTAAAATTTATACTGTGCCAATTTAGGAGTACTCACTGAAACAGCTTCTTTAAGATGAGCAAAGTTTTCTGCCTCTGCCAGAGTTTTTGGCTGTCCTAATATAACATGGCCTTTCAAATCTGGATGAAGGCCCTGAAGAAAATAATGCATGACTTCATTGTCACTTAAGCTTAAGCGCTTGCATAGCCGCCTAATTTCTGATGCATAATTAGCTAAAGACTCAGTTTCATTTTGCTTTCTTGATGATAATTGTTGACGCAAAAGCCAAAGTGATGCCGGGTTACTAAACTGTTCTTTTAGTGCATTAATTAAAGCATCATAACTCTCAAAACTAGTATTAAGACTAGCATACCAAGAACCAGCATTACCCTGTAAGTAAAGGGGTAGGGCCCGTAGACGCTGTTTAGAATCCTACCCACAGAAATTAGAGTACCGTTCAAAGTGGCTAAGAAATTCTGTAAGGTCATCTGTCGGCTTACCAAAAAAAGGTGTGGGATGGAGAGCAGGGCCCACCTGTAAATATTTTGTGATATTAGTGTTGCCAATTGGGCTTGTTGTTGTTTATGTAATGTCAGAAAGTCAGTTTGGCTGCGAATACCCTTTTCAGTACTTTCAGCAAGTTTTTCTTGGCTTTGCTGATTTGTTCTTGTAGATTTATCAATAAAATTTAACAGTTCGGACAACTTATTCATAGCTCAGTCTGCTCAGCCATACCCACGCTAGTACATATAGTCTACTGATTCCCGCAATGAACTATCAACACGACTGCGACTGCGAGTAATCGGACCGGACACAATGAAACGTTTGTATAACTGTGGTGAATAATATAACTAAATGTCTACATTTAATACACATGAAAGGACAAGAAACATAGGACGAGAAACAATGTATTATATTAACAGCACTAACAACAACTATAATACTCTTACACTCGCTATGATTTTAGTATGAGGAAAAAAGAAATTTAATTTTCTGACACAACACGCGGTTCGTAGTCGATTTCAAGTAGCCAAGCAAATTTTAAGGATAAAGTAAATATCGTGTACCTCAAGTTATATAGCTTCGCGTCTGACGTCGCGGAGTACATGACTTTTGCTGTTCTTTCAGCGTCGTGTACTCGTGTGTTCAAACGTCGTCAAAGATTTTGATAAAGCCCTTTCAAAATACTGTGTGTTTGATTTATTTTCTGCCATAAAGCATGTTAAACAAAAGAAACTCGAAGAAATTCGACAATACTATTACGATAATCACAATGGAATTTGAAAATTACGGGAACCACTGAGTATTTTAATGAAATATAAAACAACGGTAACCGAACTATTTATAAAATGTTGTTTATGTGAACTTGCAACCAATCAAAATCTTTCATGATGCTGATCAACCAATCAGATTTCCCGTCCACCAGATGGACGGGAATCCCACGGTTTAGATAGGTTTTGTGTCAGGCCATATTCTAAATTAGGGCCTGAATTTCAGGTTAATTAACTTATAACATACTATTGGCGACTTGACGAAAGTACAATACCCACTTGATCATGAAGCGACCGTACCATTTCTGCATAAACCAAGACAAAAACAGAGATAATGAGGTCTATTTAATCTATTCTCATCGAGTTTCCTAACCATCTTGTTCTGCTGACTATGATCATAAAATATCGTTTTGTAGAACTCCTACAATAATATTTAAACTTTGCCACACTACCGCTGGAGGTTCTGATATTCTCAGGTAAATTGTTCCAAGGGTAAACTATTCGATTAAAAAAGTTGCCTTAAACGAAAATCAATATTACCGCTATATACAAGCCACATTTCATCTTATAAAAGGTGGTTAAGTCCTTTATCCCTTGTCCATGCAACAAAAGAAGATCAAGTCGTCGGAGTCGTTCCTTGTATTCTAGTTCTGGCATTAAAATACGTGTTGCACGTCGTTGAAACCGTTCAATTAACTTGATCAACATTTTTATTTTACTCGCTCTAATGCTTTCTATCACTCATTCACTGATCGAGCTTCAAACCCTTTATCTTGTTTTGAAAATGTCTTGCTCAAGAATTCCCTTCTCATTATAACGAATTTGCATTTTAGATTATTCATTGCAAATGAATTGTAAGCTCCTGTTATTTACCATCCTGCTCATCACTTCAATCAATCGAGCTGGATCTGGTCCTATTACCTGCTATGCTTGTATGGAATCAACGACTACATATTGTGCAACAGCAGTATTAAGCGGTAGGAGAGGGCCGGATTGCAAAAAATTTCGAGTAATTGCGATATGAAATATTCAAAGCTATCCGCTACATATGTTTGCACATATTTACCACGCGTCTTCACCAAAAATTTGAAATCGATACTGCTGTTCGTTCACGAGTTCGGGAGATTTGAATAAGATAACCGCTGACATCAGCATTGTTTTAATTGTCTTTAAAAGCTACATTTTATTAGCCTTTCTCACGCTATACCACCAGGCCTTAAAATCCGCCATTTTGGGTGGTAAAAGCATTGTTTTTGACGATTTCTTTTTCAAAACATAAAAGCTATAATGTTTTGCTTGTATACAATTGTTTGTCACTTAGTTCTCTCATAGTTGTTGAAAGTTTGGATTAAATTCCAAAATTTTAAATACTCGCCGAAAATATGCATTTTTTCATCGCGTATTTTCTTGGCGAAATTTAAAAATTTGGTGCTGAAATTAACACACATAGTTAGCGACAATCACAAATAATTTACTGATAAGAAATACGATAAATTTGCATGGTTTAAACTTTTTTTTGACAAAACAAAACCTGCCCAATTCAATCATTTTACCACCCAAAAATGGCGGATTGACCCTAAATTTAACCATTCAGCACTATTTTCCCAAAGTACATTGGAAATGTTGTTTGTGTGATGTTACTCTGAGTGTATATCCACACCGGGCAGGCTTGAAAAATATGCCTGGCCACGGCGGGATTCGAACCTACGACCTTTCGAATACTAGCCCAATGCTCTTCCAACTGAGCTACGCGGTCAGGACGGTTCGAGTAAGCGATATTTCGGAACTGAGTCTAGTTCCTTCGATATCAGTGTAATCTAATATTTATGAAATCTGCTGTGTTGGTGTAATGTACTCAGGTGAATAAGATGTTTGTGCGATGTTACTCTGAGTGTATATCCACACCGGGCAGGCTTGAAAAATATGCCTGGCCACGGCGGGACTCGAACCTACGACCTTTGGAATACTAGCCCAATGCTCTTCTAACTGAGCTACGCGGTCAGGACGGTTCGAGTAAGCGATATTTCGGAACTGAGTCTAGTTCCTTCGATATCAGTGTAATCTAATATTTATAAAATCTGCTGTGTTGGTGTAATGTACTCAGGTGAATAAGATGTTTGTGTGATGTTACTCTGAGTGTATATCCACACCGGGCAGGCTTGAAAAATATGCCTGGCCACGGCGGGACTCGAACCTACGACCTTTGGAATACTAGCCCAATGCTCTTCGGCATATTTTTCAAGCCTGCCCGGTGTGGATATACACTCAGAGTAACATCACACAAACATCTTATTCACCTGAGTACATTACACCAACACGGCAGATTTCATAAATATTAGATTTCACTGATATCGAAGGAACTAGACTCAGTTCCGAAATATCGCTTACTCGAACCGTCCTGACCGCGTAGCTCAGTTGGAAGAGCATTGGGCTAGTATTCCAAAGGTCGTAGGTTCGAATCCCGCCGTGGCCAGGCATATTTTTCAAGCCTGCCCGGTGTGGATATACACTCAGAGTAACATCACACAAACATCTTATTCACCTGAGTACATTACACCAACACAGCAGATTACATTGGAAATGTTTATTAGAAGATTTATTGGTTCATTTTTGTATTGAACAAGCTATTATAACAAATGGAACAAAATGACACTTAAAAAGGTTCTTTAGCAGCAAAAATGAGCATAGAAAGTTAATGGATTGTTCCAGAAATGTCCAAATAGGTTTAAAATGTTCGTAGGACGTATAGTTGTATTTAACAGGATCTCATAAATTAAAATAGGATCATCAAAGAGGATAACTAAGTGAAACGTAGTATCACTTTTCAGCCGCACACTGCTCTGCTTGGGGTTGGTGTCCTCCACTTTGGTTTAATTGTGTTATGGCCGTCATTGGAACAGCGTGTGGCGTGGCTTATATTGGCTGTGCAGTGGTCTGCATGGCTCCTACTGTTTAAATCATGATGGTCAATATAATGTTGCTGATTTACAAGGATTACCCTCGTTATAATTTTGTAAACTTTGTTATTGTATTCTACAAATATACTTCGCATTTTTATTGTTACCCGAGCTTTACTGTATTTGCCTAGAGTCAACAATGTGCCTTTAACTAATGCCAATATTTGGTTATATATCTAATAGTACTATGAACAGATAAACTTATTGGTTATAAGGTTATATATTAACCAAAGTTAATAGCTAGTCAGCCAGAAAATTGAGTCCCTGGTCGAGATGTGTGATGCATGTTTTTGTCCAACTATAACGTGACGTTTCCGCAGATAGTACGGTTTTATGTCGTTTGCATCTAACGACATTGCGTGTGTTTGCGTGAGTCGCAGGCTTAAAGCCAGTCGCGTGCTGGCAAGGGGGGCTGGGGGGCCACGGCCTCCCCAGCTGGCAATTTTTGGGGGGCGCAAAAATGAAAAGGGGGCGCCGATCCTGCGCCGAATTTTGAAAGTGGGTGGGAAAAGGTTGAAAAAATATAGTTACTTCCACCAAGAAAAAATGTGTTTATAGGCTTATAAACAGACTGAGCGCATAGGCGACAAAGTGATATATTAAATTACAGACTATTTTGTCTAACCAGCCAGTATTGGTACCTCACACGAAATCGTTCATATAGAAACATGATCAGTGATCACACGCAATGTCGCATTACCGGAATATTGGCCAGGTTTCGAAGCGATCACGGGAATTATGCCCTTTTTTGCTTGTATTATGCCCTTATATTATGCCTTTATATTGCTTCACGAATCACGAGAGCGGCGCAAATTAGATAGTTATGATAATGTAAAGTTGTGTACGCAATTTAGTTGTTTGAACAAGAAACATCATAACTCATCGAGTAATGTGAGTAGTAAGATAATGCTGAAACGCGCGCCCTTTTGGCAGCCAGGCAAGGAAACCTTAAACGGCATGGTGTACCACTGACATCGACTCGCACCGATGTGCAGATGAACTGCTCAACTTTGCAGAATCTTTTCAAAAATCGAAGTGTTCAGTGATTTTTGATGAAGACCGAAAGAAGAAGAGAAAGATTCTGATTTAGACTCCGGTTCTGAAACTGAAACCGAAGACTACGAAGGCCAGAAACCGACAGCGAGTCAAGCGACGACGGAACTGCTGAAGAACCAAAGGACAAGGATAAACAATCATTTCTAGAAGCTCTGAGAATTTTGTCGAATCCTGATTACTGTTGCGGAACTTGTGATTCCACCGTCTGGTTCATTCAGTAAACGCTCAAGGGACTGTATTTTATAATTGTATTGATTGTAATATGTGAAAGTATACTATTTACAACGTGAGTTTTAGACTGTTAAACATTCCGATTGTCTCGCTACGATCTGACGGCAACAATGACATTCAATCACTCCCTAGCTATTTGATTACCCTACCAAATTACAATGTGTCACTGTGACGTATCAATTTACACATACAAAGACTTATTTACGATTTAACATGAATTACGTCAAGCACAATACTGATATATTACATGAAGTATATTTAAAGTTGAATGAATTGGCGGCACTGCGCTGGGAACCTACGACACCCCACCCACCTTGATTCATAAAGGTCTATGAATCAAGCGTCTCGGACGATCATGCAAGACATGCAAGGACCCGTCTGCCTTAGCTATGGGGGAATCCTTTCCCTGCCCATTCCCACCCGGTCGAGCTTGAACCTCCAATGGGAATAACTTCTGTATAGGCCTATTCAAATAGACTGGTCTACCCTTGCCTGCAACCTTTACTTTGGCCCCTCGGACCTCCTTGTCCTTACCTACAATTAACTCTTCTACAACTGCTAACTTCCAACCACATCTCTTTCCTCCTTCTCCGTACACTGTCACTACGTCTCCCTTCTTTACTTCTCTCAGTCTATCTCCGTTTTTGCATTTATGGAACTCTCTCAACCCTGTTAGATACTCCTTTTGCCACCTCTTCCAGAAGTGCTCTAACTTTAACGACACATACTTAAATCTCTCCTCACAACTATTCTCGTCTTTAGTAACTTCGTTCTGTGGCATAATATTAATTGCTCTACCATACATTAAGTGTGAAGGAGTTAAGACTTCACCATCAAATTCTTCGTATTCATCAGTCAACGGTCTTGCATTTAATGTACCTTCAACTTCAACTAAAACTGTATTAAGTTCGTCGAACGTTAACCTAGCATTCCCTAAAGTCTTCCTAAGACACTTTTTCACGCTTCGTACCATCCTCTCAAAAACTCCACCCCACCAGGGTGCCCTCTCTAAGTTGAACCTCCAGGTTATTCGCTTCGTCTGTAGCTCGGACTTAACCTTTTGCTGACTATATAGTTTCCTAAGAGCTTTCTCTGATGCCTTAAATGTCTTTGCATTGTCTGATACTATCAAATTAGGCGTTCCTCTTCTAGCGGCAAACCTTCTTAAAGAACGTAAAAACGTGTCGGCTGACAAATCTCGTACTAACTCTAAATGTATTGCACGTGTCACACAGCATGAGAACAATGCTACATACACTTTGTTGGAACAATCTGCACAAACCTTTACAAAAAGTGGACCAGCGAAATCAATTCCCACTTTAGAGAATGGTGCTGCCTGTCTGACTCTAAACCCCGGTAAATCTGATACTGGTGCTTCACTGTATGATTTCCCTTCTAGTCTCTTGCAGGTAACGCACTTGCCTACAATTCGCTTAACCAGTTGTCGTCCTTTCACTACCCAGTACTTTGATCGTAGTCTACATAAAGTCGCTCGTACACCACAATGATGTACGTCACTGTGTGATTTTCGAACCAATAACTCTGTTAATCTGTGATCCTTTGGCAAGATGATTGGGTATCTGGCACTCAATTCTAAATCCGAATTCTTCAATCTACCTTTGCACCTCAGAATACCTTCTTCCTCCACTAATCTTAAAGAATTACTCAGCTGATCATAATTCTTCTGATCCTTCAGTTTTGTCTGAGCTTTCTTAATCCAAAATCCTTCTGCTTCAGCTAGTTCCTCTACACTGAGCTCTCCTCTACGTTTATCAACATTCTTTACTTTAGCTTGAGAATTAAACTTGAATCTAAATACCCATGCTGTCACTCTAAAAAGCTGTTCTGATGTACTGTACTTGTTTAAGTCAATCACAATGGTTGCATGATCTTGCTGGTTAACCTGTACTAACATTGCTACTGGTTTTCTTTCTTCTTCTATCACTTCAGGTCTCTTCACATTACACTTAAATTTAGGCCATTCTTCTTTGGACTTAGAGAGCCAATCTGGCCCCTCCCACCAAAGTTTACTAACTTCCAAATTTGAAGCTAACATCCCCCTTGAACCTATATCTGCAGGGTTTTCTACCCCTGGACAGTGCCCCCAATCCTCTTGGTTTGTGAGTTTCAAAATTTCATTAACTCGATGATGGACAAATTGCTTCCATTCCCCTCTATTCCTTATCCAGTAAAGGGCAGTAATGTTATCAAGCCAGAAACAGGTAAAATCTATCTTAACTTGGGTTCCAAGTGCCCCTTTAACTGAGTTCATGAGCTGGGCAAGAAGTCTTGCTGACATCAATTCTAATCTGGGTATGCTTGTCGGTTTTAAAGGCGCTACTCTTGCTTTAGAGGTTAGTAGACGCACATACACTCCTACACTTGTTTGGTAAACAAAATAGATCACGGCACAATATGATTTCTGACTTGCATCACCAAATCTATGCAAGGTACACTCTAAGATCTCCTCCTCTGGGTTATTATATATGCAACGAGGAGTAATTATTTCATTTACTTCTATTAAATCCTTATACCAGACTTCCCATTTCCTAAGTATTTCTCCAGTGAACACCTCATCCCAATCAATTTTTGCCTTGCATACTTCTTGAAACAAGATTTTGGCATAAACAATTATAGGGCTCACTATCCCGATAGGATCAAAAAGACTAGCTAAAACACTTAACAGATTTCTTTTCGTAGGTGATAGAGTTCTTGCTTTTTCACCTGTCTTTGCAACCTCAAACTTTAACTCATCCTTATTGTTATCCCATACTTGACCTAAAACCTTATGGCATTTTGATTCAGTTCCCTTCATTCCTAGAGATAATTTTGCATATGATTCATTCTCATCTATTCTATCGCTCTTCCTGTCCATGGTCTTCTCTTCTAAATCAATCTTATCTTTCAACATTCTACTATTTGTTAACCACTTTCGCATGTTGAAACCTCCCTGTGCCATCCTACGCTTTGTCTTACTGTACAACTCTAATGCCTTTCCTGTACTACCCTCACCACTGACTAGATCATCCACATAAAACCCATCAAGCATTTTTTGTACAAACTCTGGATCTTCTTCAACATATGTAGAGACATGGTGTCTCAAAGTAGCATTGAGCAGGAATGGTGATGAATTTAACCCAAAAACTACTCGGCAAAAACGATAAACTAGTATCTCCTGGTCTTCATTCTCAACATTCTTCACCCAGAGGAACCTTAAGCTATCTCTATCTGCTCTATCTACTTCCACATTCAGGAATGCTTTCTCAATATCGCCTACTAACGCTACTCTTTTTTCTCTAAACCTTATTAATATACTATACAGCAATGGATTGAGAGATGGTCCAACATGTAAACAGTCATTAAGCGATGTTCCTGATTTTGACTCCTTTGAGGATGCATCATAGACAATACGTAGTTTTGTGGTCACAGCATCCTTGCGAATGACCGCTTGGTGTGGTAAGTAATGCACCTTGTCTGCCTTCTCTAGACTCGATACCTGCTCTATGATTCCCTTTTCTACTTGCTCTCTAATTATTGAATCATATTCTTTCAACAATTCAGGTTCCTTCTTCAATCGCCTTAACTGGCTCTTCATTCTCGCTAGACTATTCCCGTAATTGTCTGAAAGCTTGTCATGGCCTTCCTTCCAGGGCAGTTTCACGGAATATCTACTGCCTGTGAAGGTCACGCCATCTAAACATTCCTCATGAACACTATCCTCGTCAATTATGCCTAACCCTTCCAAACTCCAAAGCCTTTGCACATTACTCTCTAAACTATCATTGTTCCACTCCTGATTACCTATCTGTGTTACAAAATTTACCTGGGCTACTCCAACCCTTTCTATGTCCCTTGCTCTAAGAGGACCTGACAAAACCCAACCTAACTCTGTTTCAACAGCTACTGGATCCTCCGGTCTACCTCGCCTGGTAACACCTGTTTGAAACTGCCAAAGATAATCTGCTCCTATGAGAACGTCTATTTCTAAAACTTCCTGGCTACAAACATCAGAAAACCATGTGCCCTTCAAGTGTTGGTAATCCTTTCGTGCTAATTCTATGTGTGCATTTTGTATACTGGAAATTTCTGGTACTACATAAGCTTCTACAGTTATGACCTTATCCCCATGCAGAGGTTTAAGCTTTAATTCGACCACATCCCTTTGTTCGGATCTGGTACATTTCTGACCGAACGTATTAATGCCTAACAATTCCCGTCTTAAACCCTTGGGATCAACGAAACTAGCTGCTTTCGAAGTCACAAAGGAGCGATGACTTCCCGCGTCAAACAGTACCCGGACCTTAGCCTCCCTTTCTCCCCTTAAAACCCCGCGCGCAGTTTGCAAGGCAACCAGGCCACCAATTCCTACATGCAAATTGGTAGGACTAGATACATTAATTTTAGGGTCTTGTTTAGTTATATCTTTACTTATTTCCTCATGCATAGTTTCTTTGTTGTCATTATCACACAGGGCAACATGATGTGTGCCATTGCATTTCTTACACTTGGTTGATACACTACAATTATTAGCCCTATGGCCTTTATCTAAGCATTTAAACATCTACCAAACTTACGTGCTAAAGTCTTACGAGTTTTTGGATCCCTTACTCCTGGACAGTCTTCGTGGGCATGTTGTTTCAGACAGAAGGCACAACAGTTTTTTCGTTTCTCATTCGCCAAGAGTGCAGCAGCAGTATAAGGGTTCTTTCGCTGACGCTGTTGCTCTCGTTCCATATTGCAGTCGTTTCCACGGCATTATGTGCTTTTCTCAGTTCCAATTCTTTTACAAATGCATCCAGCATTTCTTCCATCGACCATTGTAGAAAATCTGTTCCTCTGGTAATCGTCAACCGAAATGATTCCGGTAGTTTCTCGACGATGACTGGAACAACAATACTGGAGTAAGATTCCTCGCTCACCCCCAGTGCTTTCAACGCGCGGTTATGTGCTTCACAGCTATCATATAAATGGCGAAGTCCTCGCGTGTCTCTTTCCTTGAATACCGGCGACAATTGAATCAGTTCGTTCACGTGTGCTCGCTGGACTGCGCTCTTTTTATCAAATTGTTTCTTTAAGAGTTCTACTGCTGACTTATAATTTGCTTCTGTCAGAGAAAACCCAGCGATTGTTGACTTTGCTGGTTCTTCCAACAGACCGCGTAAACACGCAAATTTATCGACATCAGACAATTGCTCATTGTTATCGATTGAACTTGAAAAGCTGTCCCAAAACTCCTGCCATTCGCAAATCTTTCCGTTAAACTTTCTGAGTTCAAGTTTCGGGAGCTTAGCTCGAACGATTTTACAGACTGGCATATCGCTGGAGGTTGACAAATGACTCTGATTAAGGCTTGTATCCGCGGTGTTCTGCGTTGTCGACACTGACAATGGCGTGCTTTGTCTCAATTTACATAATTCATCCTCGAGCTCAAGTAATATTCTTTCCAGTTCCGCTATCGCGTTGTCTGAGTCTTCAATTTCTTGCGTTACAAGTTCATCGACGTCTTCATCTTTCGATGCGCTGATTATGTCGATTATTTGTTCGTCGAATTGTCTTATCGTCTTGATTTTTTCTTTCAAGTTCGTTTGGCTCTGTCGCAACCATAGTATGTCTTTGTCTGGGCTCTCACTTTGAAGCCTTTCAACTATCTTCGCCACAAGCTTTTTAGCTGACGATCTGTGGCCTCCTCTCACTCGTTTCTTCTTGACTAGATCTTCCATCTGACGATTCAAGTCTCGAAACCTCACGCAACTCTATTCTCGACCGCGACGCAAATGTTGACTATTTGCGCGTCCTTTCTTCACAATATTAACAATCCGGCTCGATCGGACCACTGTGTTGCGAAACTTGTGATTCCACCGTCGGGTTCATTCAGTAAACGCTCAAGGGACTGTATTTTATAATTGTATTGATTGTAATATGTGAAAGTATACTATTTACAACGTGAGTTTTAGACTGTTAAACATTCCGATTGTCTCGCTACGATCTGACGGCAACAATGACATTCAATCACTCCCTAGCTATTTGATTACCCTACCAAATTACAATGTGTCACTGTGACGTATCAATTTACACATACAAAGATTTATTTACGATTTAACATGAATTACGTCAAGCACAATACTGATATATTACATGAAGTATATTTAAAGTTGAATGAATTGGCGGCGCTGCGCTGGGAACCTACGACACCAGGCAACGAAAAATTTTATCGTATCAGGCAATAAAGAGTAAGTGAACTTGCTGTTTTAAAACTGCAATGCATGATTATTCTTTCGACACAAGAAAGAAAATATGAAACGAAAACGTTCAACGAAAATTTTGACAAGAAAGTTCGAACCTGCCGTTTGCCGTTCCCGGAAACGCGAAGCTTAAACTCCCTATTACTACTAACATATATTCCCCCAAAAGATCAAAATTGCTGACATCAGCATTATTTTGGAGAGCTCTCAAAAATGTGTTACAGACAAAATTGGGGTAAAAATGCTAGGTAAAAATCAAATTAACTTCCATAAACAAGAATTTAGAGATTTTGGCTCAAAGTCTCTCTTATATTAGCATTTTAATCCCCCCCCCCCAATATAGCCGCGTTCTCTTTCTTTGACTGAATCAAGATTACGATGCCCCCTCTAGTGTTATTTATAATTTCTATGGTCATGCACGGATGTCGCGTGCCCACGAGTGTGATGAGTCATACGTACGCTGACCGCGCAGACATTAGCCTTTTTTATCTCGTTTTTTCCGGTCGTTCGTTTTTTTCCGGTTTTCCGTGTTTTTCAAAAACCTGTATTTTCCGGTATTCTTTGTTTGCAAGACGTAATTTTGGGATTTCAGTTGACGGGCAGGTATAATCGCGTCGCGGGGCGGTTAGCTCAGCAAGTTGCTCTCGTGTGCGGCGGGCTTAAGACTCGAAAGATGAATCACCGTTCAGTTTTCCTTGCTACAACCATTCTGTTAGGATAGTTGCGAGGAATGAACCAGGCGGGAATCGTAAATTCGTAATCTAATAATGAATATCAATGGCCAACACAATGTCCGTTTAATAATAGCCACAACAATGAGAAATTTTCATAAATTTAATTATTTGCAGAATTAAATTATTTTCAGAGTGAAGAATGATACAAAATTACAAAGTTATGTATGCATGACTGAATTACAACTAATTACAGAGTACGTATAGAATTACAAGTATATAATCTAAGGAAGAAAGGGAGCGGAAGTACATATAGTATAGGGTATAGAAAGGGGATTAGAGTAAAAGAAGGCCGGAAGGTTTAAGTTTGGAAATGAGAAGGCTTTCGCGGATCATAAGCTCGTCAGAGGATGGTCAATTTTCGATACCCTATGTACTTCCGCTCCCTTTCTTCCTTAGATTATACTTGTAATTCAATACTCTGTAATTAGTTGTAATTTATTCATGCATATATAACTTTGTAATTTTATAAAGTCATTCTTTACTCTGAAGATTTCTTTAAGTGCAATACGAAACGCTGCAATTGGTTCTGTAAATAAGTATAGGTTATTTTGAGGCAACGAGGGGGATATTCCTTCCGAGGTGCCTCAAAATAACCTATACTTATTTTTCACACTGCGAGGTCGCGTTAATGAGACAGAATAGAAGTAATTCTTAATGCCATATTGCCTTCGTTATGTTGTTTTTTTCTCATTTTTGTGCTGCAAAGACATTGCAGGTGAATATTAGAGGGGATTATTAATTGCAGGTGAATATTAGAGCGGATTATTAAACGGAAATTGATCAGAAGGGAATATTGAATATATTCCCGGATAAGAACAAAGGAAACCGAGCAGGGTGAAAAATAATTAAATTTATGAAAATTTCTCTTTGTTATGGCTATTATTATACAGATATTCATTAGATTGATATTTATTATTAGATCACTCTGATAGGAGAAAAATCGTCCACAAGTTGTTTGATTGCCCATATCATTTGGATGAAAAGTCACGTGATTGCAAACAAAGAATACCGAAAAACCACCCCAGCCTGCGCCCTACCTGATATAACTATGCGGAAATATATATATTGGACCAAAGTATTTAATATGATTACTGTGGACGGCTGACTTACTAGTTATCTGCCTCTGTACGGTGAAACAGAAATTCAAACCGCTACCTATACGAATCTCGACGTTCAGGTATCTTGGATCCGTAATTTTTTCTTTGCCAACGTCTGCCAATTAACAAAAGCTGCGTCAGGTATGTTGTATTAATATTAACTGTCTATCTAGTCAAAGATTTTATTAATTAAAAGTACAAATATACTTAAAAGTATACTTCTGGCGGTGTTTAATAGTTGACATGTGCAAATTTGTGATTCCTTATAAGTTTTTGATTTATTGTCTATTATGATTAAACATTTCAAATGATGGAAATTATTTCAATACGTATGTTATATACTTTGTTTCTTTCGATCTAATGGAAAATTTGATCAACTATTGACCAGTGGTCACCTGAATTACTTAGAATTTGTACTCGTAAAAGTAGAAGTAATTAACAATAAAACAATTTGAGTAAGAGTTGTGGAGGCAAAACGTACTGAAGTAAAAAGTACAAAGTATCGTTAAAATACTTAGTAAAAAGTAAAAGTACTATTGTCTGTAGCGTGTAGAGGGACGGGGACTTCTCCAATGGATTGACACCAAACAGCACACGCATTATATGCGTGCACCTAATATACAATATTTCACAGCATGATCTACTTTCCAGACCCCGTTGAAGACATAAGAAATCCATTAAATAAATAATGCTTATATGTAGAGGTCCTATTACCTATCCCAAAATTAAAATAAATCGGGAATAAACTGACGTAAAATTAAACAAAAGTTAGAAACTAACGAAATACTTTGCCACAAAATGAAAATAACGAAGTAAAACGTTGCTCCTTAAAACGACTTCGTTCCAAGCAGAAGTACTCCAGAAAAAGTTTACTCAGTGTTACATGCTGACTAGCTTCTCAAAAATATGAGTACAGTAACGAAGTACATTTACTTCGTTACTTGACACCACTGGCTATGACATATCAATTAACTTAAATTCGTTAAATATTACCAATATGATTTACTTTGAAATTCGGCGTTATAGCCAATGCTGTCGAACAAAATTTACCAGAGAGGGGCGGGGGCCTCTCTTGACGAGCGTGAAGCTGTGAAATCGTAAAAAAATGCGTGACGTCATCGTATGACGCCATAGATGTTCACAATTCATCACTGAGATGACTCATAGTTAGATCATAACCTATATTATAAAGTTTCATACGTCACAATTACCTTATAAATAGGACCTTAATGGGGTGTTGTGAAAATCCGGAATGCCGGAATTTCGCGGAATATGCCGGAATTTCGCGGAATATATCGCAACATCACGGAATTTTGCGAAATATCATAATTACATTTGGTAATTCTCCATAAAAGATGAGTACCCTTACAAGAACCGTGTAACGACAGATGTGGAAACGAAAGTTTCTTCGGGGAAACAGAAGTACTATACCATCCCAATCCCTGCTGTACACTCAGACGTCATTCCTACTTCAACAATACAATGCTTGGTTTCTCTGACACTGCGCAGCTTACAGATGTGCATCGTCAACATATTGTGCAGATGTTTCAACTCTTCCACTGAGAGCATTTATCTATAAATGATAAATCAACTTAAAGTTAATTAGCCGTTTACGCAAACTTATAGTTGATATTTTAAAATTTGTTTTCTTATAAATAATTTTGAATGATGCCGAGTATCTATACTATAGCCAGGGGACAAATTTCCAACTCATCCTCTGGAAAGATTTAGTTAATAACATTGCTCATAGAAATGAATTACATGAAAGAGGACGTTGATGTTCATGTTCCATCCATGAATTGTTTTAAAATTTGATTGTAGTTTATTCGTACTTAATTTCGCGAAAAACTTCTCAACAACATAAAAATTTCCTTAAAAATTTAAACTACTACTTTTTAGACAAGTCAAGCACTCTTTACTCATGAGATACATTAAGATCCTCAAATACATCTTCTGGGGGAACCAGCCTTCTTCAAACAAGAAGTTTATTTTATTTATTAACTTTACAACCATACATAAAATAGATTAAACCACTACATAATATGGTTGAAGGTATGGTCAACAGGACATGAATAGCCCCATGTGAAGACCAACCTTAATGAAAACAAACTATAACAAACATAAAGCAAAGACGAGAACAAATATAAAATTTACAGAAAAATGACGAATTACGAACAACAGCTTAAGTTGAAAGAGCGGCACTTAGAACAGAAGGTTTTCCAAGTGCGCATTCTGTTTACATCGAAAGATGAATGAAGTAGAGAAGAGTAATGAACAGTTAGTCTGTTTTTAAAGGATGAAACGGATGAACTATTGCGATTGGTGGGAGAGAGATTATTCCAGAGAAAGACAATTCGCTTGAAAAAAGAGTTCCTAAAGAGAGAAGTCTTGCAATGATTAACATGAAGCAAGTTGTCCGAACTTGAACTGGTGTGAGACGAGCTGTTTGAAGAAAAAGTGACGAAAGAGGAGATATCTAGGTCGAAGAGACAAACAGCATTCCAACATCTACATTTTACCAACATCTGTTGATTTTTTTCTTTCTTGTGTGGCCACATGAAATGGCGTCAACATCCATAATTTTTGCATACCTTGAGCATATGGCCTTGAAAAATTAATCAGTCGATGTGCGCATGCTGCCATGACGCACACTGGTCCGAAGAGAATAAGAATCGGTTCGGAGTTTCGACTGCGCATCAAATGACATGGTCACATGGCCAGAAATTGCGGACATGGATTCTGAGTATGTGCGAACTTTCACAAACAAAATGGCGGATTTGTTATATATAAATCATTAGGAGTGGCGCGGTTTTTTTCAATTTAAACGTGTTTGATAATAGCTATGTCATTTGCAGACTTCGCAATATTACAAATTATATCTGGACCATAAAACAGAAAATTTTCGCATCGAAATCTTACCTATAAGTTGTTCCATTATTCAAGTTCACTTCATAGTACATCGGCGTATAATAAAGTATAATAAAACTTGAGAAAATCGTTGAAAACGTACATTTTGCTCTGGCCGCATGTATCCCTCGAACCCTTCGTGAAATTTGCAGACTTCGCGTCGTAAAATATATGTTGTCCCCTGCTTGTCTACATAATTTCATAGTGATACGAATTTTTTAACTTCTTCCAATTTACGGGACAAAATGTTGATATTTTACCAATAAATACCCTGTCCATAGACCGTAAAACATTGCAAGAAGAACGATGTTTAATGAATTGGGCTATTCCATTTAATATCCGTATCCCCCCTGTCGAGGATCCCTGGAATTCTTCAGGGGTAAAGGGTTTTGAGCTTGGAATTCTTCAGGGGTAAAGTGTCTTGAGCTTGGAATTCTTCAGGGGTAAAGGGTTTTGAGCTTGGAATTCTTCAGGGGTAAGGAGGTTTGATTTGAAATTTTTCAGAGCTTGGAATTCTTCAGGGGTAAAGGGTTTTGAGCTTGGAATTCTTCAGGGGTAAAAGGTTTTGAGCTTGGAATTCTTCAGGGGTAAAAGGTTTTGAGCTTGGAATTTTTCAGGGGTAAAGGGTTTTGAGCTTGGAATTCTTCAGGGGTAAAAGGTTTTGAGCTTGGAATTCTTCAGGGGTAAAGGGTTTTGAGCTTGGAATTTTGGAATACTTCAGGGGTAAAAGGTTTTGAGCTTGGAATTCTTCAGGGGTATAACCATAAAAAACATGTATCCTCGACAGGGGGTGTACGGATATTAAATGGAATAGCCCAATTTGTCGTCCATGTTTGATATCAACAAGAAGCTTAGGAACCAGGCTTTCTTTCAGTGCGGGTTACACAGAGGGATAGCGATGTATACACAAAATATTTGAGTCGTTTACCATGCGCATCACTTTATATCCCATCATAATAAATGAAAGGTATGTAAAAGGCCGACAATACCTATTATATCTATTTTTCTGCTTTAGTTAAACAAAAAACTAAGCAAAATGTATTTTTTTAGTTAAAACTTGCGTTTGTTACGTATGAATAACTTTTCAGAGGAAAAACCGCTGAGATATATTGCGGGCGCATGTCCTGAATTTCTGGCCATGGTAATTCGTGATAAAAGCGTGTCATTTACACTGTCAGCTGACTGATGTTTAGTATGAGCAAATTTTTAATTATATACTAATTAAGATAACGGTTTTGGCCAGTATAATAAATGCTAAGATTATTTAATATTTATTGAATTGCGGACAATTTCAGTTAATTTCGACATACTCCGGGAAAATGTCGTGATATTCCGCGAAATTCCGGCATATTCCGCGAAATTCCGGTATATTCTGTGATATTCCGGCATTCTGGATCTTGATCACAAGTTTATGTGCGATTTTCGAAAATATGTCATTGTATGCACAGTAAGAAATTTGGAAAATTTGCCGCAGAGGAAATCAGTTTTCCTCTTTTTGGAAGAAAATAACATTAAACCCAGCTGTTTATTATATATATATAGTAGAGAGTGAGATACTGAAAAATACACAGTGAGATAATTTCCATATCTTCACTAGTGAAGATATCGATCACGTGACTTTTAGTATTGTTACAATTTTTTGCTTGGCTTGAAAATATGACTTTTATGTTCTTGTGTTACTGCATTTTAAATGAATAGCGTGGACATATCAAATGTCGCAATTTACTCTTTCGCAGAAGGTGCGCATGTTGTTGTAAATTCTTTAAAAAATCAATAGTCTGGAATTAGCCTACTAGAAATATTAATAAATCAGAAACATAATAATTAAAGGGGCAGTGTCACGGCGCTGATTGGCTAAAATAAACGGCGCAAAGAAACGTTTAAAATTATTCTACATGATTGGAAAAGATGCAGCAGCCTTCAATTATTAAAGCAAAGCAAGGATGGCCTGCAAAACGAAGGGTTATAAATAGTATATCGTATTTCACTCCTAACTTGATTAATTGTTGGCAGACAGTTTTTGAAGTTCGCGCATAGTTTGGATGCACAGTAGAACCGTGACACAGCCCCTTTAAGAAAACAAAAAACAGTGTACACCAAGTTAAAGACCCTTTTGACAACAAGAGCAACCCTGACGCAAGGAAACCGCTTACAGTTAAATACATGCTATCGCGCAGTATAGTTGGTTCCAGCTGGTCCATGGATCTTCTTCATTCTATTTTGTTGAAAATCAAATTATCCCAAGAGAGCTTTTGGCTCTCTAAAATATTAATTTGGGAATAAAAAGCCTATACAAAATTCGAATCAAATAAATATAGTTACTAAATCAACGGCCTTTCTTTGAAATACTTTGAAAAATAAATAACAGGAAACCAAGTTAATGAATAATGACTGAAACCACAGACAAACCAATATATTACTGTTAAGTACATGTTAATTCTGCTAGTATATGGACCTTCTCTATTGTATTTCTTCATATAACCGATCACAAGCTAGTGGACTGGCCCAGTTGCTCGTGATTTATTTGTTTTAAGCAGGTGCTTCCACTTCAGTCATCCCTTCAGAAAAATTTATGGTTTTGAAAGACCAATTGCAGTGTTTAAAGGGCAATCACATACATAAGCTTGCATTGGGAATGCAAATCAAGTCTTTTTCACAGTCAGCTTGTATTTTACATATTACGAACGATCGCCGGCCTTTGACCATAATTTTAATGTCACCTATAATCTTAACATTATTCAAATGAACCATCTGCTTCTATTAGTGTTGTCCTACTCAAACATCGCCTTATTTTTTTATGTAGGTTAAGGCCCTGTCACACTATTGCGTATCGTACTAGCGTATGCCAGCGTATGAAAAATATCACTCATACGCCGGTATACGCTGACATACGGTAGGGGTACGTTAGGCATACGTTGTATACGTTTCAAGCATGGTCGTATACGGTGGTATACGCTGGCATACGCCGAGACAGAAAATTTTTTTTAAGCATGCTCAAAAATTTTGTGCGTATTGGATGTATGCTTTGTACGATATGCATACTCTAGGCACACGCTGAATATACGCTAGAGGTACGCCATATGTACGGTACTTATACGCTGGCATTTCAAAGGATTTTTGTGCGTATGAAAATTATTTCATTAATTTTCATACGCTTCTCATACGTTTCCTCATACGCAATAGTATGACAGAGGTACGCCAGATGTACGGTACTCATACGCTGGCATTTCAAAGGATTTTTGTGCGTATGAAAATTATTTCATTAATTTTCATACGCTTCTCATACGTTTCTCTCATACGCAATAGTATGACAGAGGTACGCCAGATGTACGGTACTCATACGCTGGCATTTCAAAGGATTTTTGTGCGTATGAAAATTATTTCATTAATTTTCATACGCTTCTCATACGTTTCTCTCATACGCAATAGTATGACAGGGCCTTTACCTACAAATATTTCGATGTTTTACATTTTAATTATATCACCATAGTACGCAAAGTTTATTCTTTGTGTTTTGCTCAAAGATCAGACTACAGAAAATTTTACTGTAGCTATTTAGCAATTACAAACACATTGGCGGTGGAGACGGAAATTAAAATATCTTCCTTGCGTTTTAGGATTTTCCCGCAAGAACCAGGGAAAAACGATGTCAAATATTGTTTTGTTAATCGTTATTGTCTTGACGTGTATTTCCACCGAAACCGCTGCCCAAGTGGTCTGTGCTAATCCTATAAAAATTAGCGAACTTCGAGTTTTGAAATCAAAGAAATGTGTTAACATAGATGCAACAGATGGTCGTGGAAAGATTAATACAATTGAGTGTGACGGCTATCATGATCAGCAAATTATTAAGTTCTTTGTATGTTTGCATGGTGATAAAATATAATAGGTTTTGTTTGTGGAAACACCACGTAAATTTATTACTGCAAAGCTTTCGATCCGTAAGCCCGGATCTTCATCAGTGCTAATAATATGTGACTTGTTTAATTCACACGCTCTTTTTATATACAAAAGTGTCGTGATCTGTTGGCTCGCGTCATTTGAAATTTAATTAAACGGCACATCAACCACGTCATTCCAAACATAGTGGAGTGATTCCAATTAACGCGCGCGCATCCAAGACAAGAGAAATTAATTTTGCACATTAAAGAGAGCACGCCACGTACTATCTAGTGGTTTTCCCTCCTGATCTATAGTATTGTGCTTCTCAATTTCAATTGACTCTCTCATTTTGCGAGAGAACTTGTGACTATCAATTGCCAAAATGGTTGCTTCGTCCCATTTTATACGATGGTCGTAAGTCCAAGTATGTTTAGCCACAGCAGATTTATCTTGCTCGGCTTTCTCGCAATTCGTCTTGTGTTCCTTAAGACGTACTGAGAGATTTCGACCAGTTTCACCAATGTGAACCAGACCACATTCACAAGGAATGCGGTACACACCAGGTTTCTGAGATTCATTTACATTGTCCTTATGTGTGCAAAGAGCTCGAAACAATTTGTTTTCGCTGGAATGGTATACCTTTATACCTGCTTCATTCCTCAAAATTCTTTCGATTTTGTGTGAAGCCGGGCCAATGTATGGTAGACAAACAGACGACTGATACTCAATCTTCTGCTGTATATTTTGTGGCGTTTTCATAGCATTATCTATGAAATGCCGTGGGTAACCATTCGTTTTTAGAACATTTCTTAAATGTTCTAATTCATTGTCAACGTTACTTACCTCACAAATTGTTTTCGCTCGGTTGATGAGTGTCTTACACACAGAGTTTTTGATACTAGGATGATGAAATGAATTATAATGCAGATACCTGTCTGTATGTGTTGGTTTCCTATAAACCTTATGTCCTAGCGACTCATCATCATGTATAGTGAAAAGAACATCTAAGAAAGGTATAGTTTTATCATCCTTCTGTACTTCAAAAGTAAACTTGATCGATGGATGCAAACTATTAATGTGGTCTAGAAACTTTTGTAGATTATCTAGTCCATGAGACCAGCTACTCAATGTATCATCCACGTATCTGAACCAGAAACCAGGTTTCAACTTTGCAGTAGCTAAGGCCTTCTTTTCAAATTCCTCCATGAACAAATTAGCCATAACAGGCGACAATGGACTTCCCATTGGAGCGCCGTTTGTTTGGAGCGCCGTTTGTTAGGAAACCAACACATACAGACAGGTATCTGCATTATAATTCATTTCATCATCCTAGTATCAAAAATTCTGTGTGTAAGACACTCATCAACCGAGCGAAAACAATTTGTGAGGTAAGTAACGTTGACAATGAATTAGAACATTTAAGAAATGTTCTAAAAACGAATGGTTACCCACGGCATTTCATAGATAATGCTATGAAAACGCCACAAAGTATACAGCAGAAGATTGAGTACCAGTCGTCTGTTTGTCTACCATACATTGGCCCGGCTTCACACAAAATCGAAAGAATTTTGAGGAATGAAGCAGGTATAAAGGTATACCATTCCAGCGAAAACAAATTGTTTCGAGCTCTTTGCACACATAAGGACAATGTAAATGAATCTCAGAAACCTGGTGTGTACCGCATTCCTTGTGAATGTGGTCTGGTTTACATTGGTGAAACTGGTCGAAATCTCTCAGTACATCTTAAGGATACAAGACGAATTGCGAGAAAGCCGAGCAAGATAAATCTGCTGTGGCTAAACATACTTGGACTTACGACCATCGTATAAAATGGGACGAAGCAACCATTTTGGCAATTGATAGTCACAAGTTCTCTCGCAAAATGAGAGAGTCAATTGAAATTGAGAAGCACAATACTATAGATCAGGAGGGAAAGCCACTAGATAGTACGTGGCGTGCTCTCTTTAATGTGCAAAATTAATTTCTTTTGTCTTGGATGCGCGCGCGTTAATTGGAATCACTCCACTACGTTTGGAATGACGTGGTTGATGTGCCGTTTAATTAAATTTCAAATGACGCGAGCCAACAGATCACGACACTTTTGTATATAAAAAGAGCGTGTGAATTAAACAAGTCACATATTATTAGCACTGATGAAGATCCGGGCTTACGGATCGAAAGCTTTGCAGTAATAAATTTACGTGGTGTTTCCACAGCAAATTATTATGTGTAAAGACGGAACGATAAGGAATTTAAAAGCTCCTTATAATTGTTTTACACCAGGCAAGGACGGAAACGGAAATTTGATGTCAACTTCTTGCGAGGTATACCCAGCCATACCCGATTATCAGAAGTGGAGATATGGAAGGTCAAAAATCTTCGTAGACATAGGAGGAATTGAACAAGAAGCAAGAGAAATAGTAAACGTGAAATCTGGAGCGTGCATGGATGTTAATGGCCGTGGTGGAAATGGTGACATTTCTGCATATCGTTGCGAAAATCTGGATGATCAGTACTTCTACTTCCGCTCTCGGGGTAAGCTAATGGGACATGGAAGACTACAAGTTGAGAAATCTGGATATTGTCTGGACGTGGAAGGAGACCAAGGACGTGGCAATGTTTTAATAGACAACTGTGAAGACGCTGCTGATCAGCATTTCGATTTTCATGAAAATGGCGAATTAGTTAACAAAAAGTCCGGATTGTGCGTCAATATTGGAGGTTATAGTGGATATGGTGATATCCACATGTACGCGTGTGAAGATCTTCCTGATCAAATGTGGATACAACCGCACCAGTACTGCCATGGAAATTATTGTTCTTTCCGGAGTAAGAAAGCAGAACAGTGCTTAAACGTTGGTGGATATGATGCAAGAAAGGGAAGCAATGTGGCGACCTACAAGTGTGAGGGGGCTCCTGATCAACGCTTTAGATGGGTGAATGGAAAATGGGTCACACCTAGTGCAACATGGTCCGTGGTTGGCTGCAATCAAAACGGTGAAATTACTCACGCGATAAGCAGCACGATCAGTTACAAGACAAAAATCACTGCGAGTATATCAATCTCAGTTAGTTCTACAATCCAATCTGGTGTCACATTTGGCGGCGCATCAACCAGCGCATCAGTCAGTACAACCGTGTCAGCGTCGCTCGCAAAAGAGTGGGAAAACAGCCAATCAGGAACAAGAGATATAACTTTCACTTGCAAGAACTATGACACCGGAAAGCCATTCAAACGGGGATGCATGTGGCAACTCCGACTCACTACCAGGGAAAAAACGAAAAACGATCTTTTGACGTGGTCGCCCCAGATCGTGAAATGTACAAGCAATACTCGAGAACCAAAATGCCCTCCATTTACGAGATGCAAAGATGATGCATGCACAATGTGTGAACAACTGCCAGGTGTTCGTAAGAAAAAAAGCGTCGACGAATCCTTGACATGGAAAAAGGTGTTGAAGATAGACTAGAAGAGAAACAAGAAAGACACTGCAATACTTCATTTATTCGTTAACTTTTGGTTTTAGTCTAGTAATTGGGAACATTTTGCACTAGTATAAGTAGAAATAATAAACGAAGCTAATTTGAAGAATTTTTCTTTTGCATGTTAGAGCTTTTATATGAAGCAGTATAAGCTCTGTACAGGGGCGTAGCCAGAAGGGGTGTGGGGGTGTAACACCCCCCACCCCCTCCATTCATCGTAGATTCGGCAAATGTCTGCTAGACTTGGCAAATGTCTGCTAGAATCGGCAAATTGTTTTCGGATTTATCGGAAAATCGTTTTCGTGGTGAGCGAAAATATTTGAGTGGCTGGGAATTAAAAATTAGGGGAAAACATTTTCGTACTGTCCGAAAAAATTAGTGATATGTCCGGAAAAATTTCAGTATTTTGGAAAAAATTATGATATGTCCGGAAAAATTTTTGTAATTTCGAAAAAATAATGATATGTCCAGAAAAATTTTAGTATTTTCGGAAAAATTATGATATGTTCCGAAATATTTTTATACTGTGCGGGAAAAATTTTTGCGACCGCCCCCGGTCGCCAACAATTTTGAGAAAAGAAATATTAATTAGGGCAAAATATGCCTTGACTATGCTGGGCAAAATTAACTTACACCCCCCCCCCCCATTGAAAGAGGTCTGGCGACGCCCCTGGCTCTGTATATCACACACAATGTAATAAGGGAAAGTACAATTATTATGCCGAGGGAGGATGAAGATTTTAAGGGGGGGGGCACCGAAATATTTTCTGGCATTAAAGGGGGGGCTCTGAAAGTTCTCGATATACTGAAGGGGGGGGGCTCTAAACTTTTCAAGGTTTTGGTCCAGCAGGGGCCTGGAGTGTTCACTCCCACCATAGTTAATAGAATAGATGGTTTGGAAACTCCGCCTACTGTGAAATTCAGGCAAAAATGATGTAAAATTCAAGTTAAAATTTTGACATTTTCAGGTAAAATGTGCATAATAAAGTAATTATTTTTGTGAAATGATAACCATTTTTGTAAAATACAGTCAATTTATATGAAATTTGTTTGCGAATTTGCTTTAGAAAACTCCAGAAATTCAGTCCTAGAGCTTCAGAAATGCAAAAATTTTCTGTGGGAGGACCCCCAGACTCCCCTTTTTTCCCAAAACTTAGTATGAGAGTGCCAATCAATCACAACCTTTATAAGCTTTATTATAATTATTACACGTATAATCCTCCAACATCCCCCCCCCCAAACGTCAGATGCTTTGCTACGTCCCCGATGGTTGTATTTGAAACCGATTGCAGTTTTAAGATATCCTTAGTCTGCTCTTCTAAATGGATACATGAAATGACCTATAGCTTATTTCAATTTTTGGCGCCAGGTTTGTGAAGTAATTTAAAAAAAGTAGCAGTTCCAAAAACAAAAAAGCATACAATTTGTAAGAATGTCGCCCCTAGAACCAATCTAAAATGTTTTTTTAAAGACGGTGCCATTTCATCTGGCGCTAGTGAGGTGAAAGAAGCAGCGAATCGGTATTTTTGTTGAGGGGAAGCACATGCTTGAGTATATCAGACATCTTGAGGAACTGCAAATTGTATCTATGATAAGAGAGAATTCCGGATTGTTCTCCTTCGATTCCGAATTCTGGAGAGGTGGGGGGCATTAAAAATTTTAAAAACTTGGAGGGGAGCATCGAAAATTGACCAATAACCTCAACAGGGGCCCTGTAAAAAATGAGCTTTTTTCAAGACATCTTCATCACTCCCCCCCCGTAATAAATGTATTTTCCCTAAATAGATGGAATCGAGTAGAATACATTTTTTGCAATGCTTTTTGAGAGTTTTTCTTTTCATGTGCGCAAGCAAACAAATATTTACATTGTATAACTACCAGGGGCCGTTGCTCAAAAAGCTCCATATGGTTAACTTAGTCTTTGATTAACTTGAAATTCACAGTAAATTTCCCAGCAGTTTGTTTATAGGCTTGGAAAATTTCTTCACAAAAAAACTTTGTCAGCATCAGAAGGTTTCTTTTCTGACGTTATGAGATTAACTGACAAGGGGAAATACACAAACTGTATATATAAAACAGCGTGTTAAATTTTAACGTGTGAAATATAATATATAATTTAAGTCTTTAGGTAAACGGTTTAGGGTAAAAAAATTAGCTAGATCGGGGCAGAGACTTTAAATTGTATGCGTAAATTCCAACGTCGTATACCGCGCAGTCAGCCATTGGGTGGAATAATATATTATTCAAAACTCATTAATAATTCATGAGGCAATTATCCAATCATGAGTAAGAAATTAGTCACGTGCATACGTCTTTATACCAGCTAAAGAACACTATAACAAAAGACCATTGTCATGCAAACTATATAAAGATTTTTATATAAAGATTTTTATATAAAGATTTTTATATAAAGATTTTTATATAAAGATTTGACTTATTATGCAAACGTTTTTGAAGCCATTTAAAAAACTCGCAGGTCGTGTTTTATTAGGTCTAAAGCCACTCGCGCTGCGCGCTCGTGGCTTTAAACCTAATAAAACACTCCTGCTCGTTTTTTAAATAGTACATAAACATTTATAATACTCTGTGAATTCATGATCAAGTGATGGAGATTTAAACCGAGCGGCAACCCGTCTTGACTTCGTCCCATTCTATAATGTGAACAGAGAGAACATATACGTTCGGATCACTGATCTAATAGTAGACTGGATATAGCTTCTCTAGGTGTGAAAAGTGAAGCCAAATTATATATGCGAAAATCACTTCCGGGGACCACGGAGCGATACAAATTACTATAGAAATGTATGGCGAACAACGTGAACCAAGGTGAATTTTCCCGAATTTGAGATACTTTGCGAAGTTTTACCAAGCTGATCGCTCCACCGTGGGTAAACTATGTTATGTTAATGCGTTTAAAACGAAAATTATCAAGATTGCCCTAAAATATCGTCAGTTTTCTGTAGAGTGAATCTACGTTAATAGTGCATGAAGTTGAATTTTGAATTAGAACAACATAATTGATTTAAAATGTGGGGTGTATTTATCATTCAATATCTAATTGAGTATAAATATAAGAACAAATATAAAATATATTCAAAGTTAATTTGAAACGCGGCCGTATCAACATTTTAAAATTATTATGTCGTCCCTTGTTCTTAAGATTGGTCGGTAGTTTGTTCCACAATACTGCTCCCCTAAATGTTACTGACTTATGTAGGAAGTTGGTTTCTGGTCTTGGAATAACCAACTTTTCTGATCCTCTTAAATTGTTATCTTTCTTTGTAATTATATTCTAACAGAGTTCGTCTGGTGCCTCACCGTAACAACATTTGTGGACAGTGCTTAATACTCTTTGCTTATACGTACTGCTCAGTGTTTTCCAGCCAGTTTTATGTATCACTTCTTGGCTTGGTAAATCCCAATTCAACCTGTAGATTATACGTGCGGCTCTTGTGTGCAACCTTTCCAAGGCTTTGAAATGTGTTTTACCACACTTTCCCCAAACGAGAATGCAGTATGTTACGGATGGGAAGATTATTTTCCAGTAAAAATCTTCCAGCATATGTTTTGGGAGGAAACCCATGATTTTAACAAATTTAATTTCCTGACGAATGCAAGTTTGACATTTTACTGTGTGTCCTTTCCATTTCAGCTTATTGCCCAAAGTCACTCCTAGAGATTTTGACTTCTTTACCCACTTCACTAAAGTACTAAACTGCCATTTAACTGTACTAGTGGTAGTGGACCTACGAAAGTTCCGCGTTTAATGAGCATGGCTTCTGTTTTGGCTGGATTTAAATAGTCCAAAATTAGATAGTCCAAATTTACTATTTTTTATGTATTTTATAATGTTATAATCTTCTGAATTTTGTAAAATCTTACCCCAAATTGCACGAAATGGCATTTAATAAGCTCTGAAATTCCCCCTAGATTGTTTGCGCCTTCGGCATTCAAGTTGTCCCCCCCCCCCCCCCCACACTTTGGAATTTATGATATCATACGTAGTGTTAGGTCCACACTTCAAAGTAAACATTCGTACCTAAACTTGCGAACGGACATGCATGGGGAACGAGATTGCCTTCACCGGGTCTTCCCTTCACAAGAGGAAAGAGCCTGGGAACAAGGTTGTGTTCGGATCAGATGATGGTGAATCACCTGTTTCATCGATATACATTTTCAAAGAGGGGCATATCAAACTTTCACCCTATAAACGCGAACACTTGAGTAAGCTAGTATCCAGTGCCTCGCACTGCAATTGCGCGCGCATTCTCTATTAAGAGGCTGTCTCCCTGAAACCGACCACTCATATTTTACGTAAAAAGTGAACCCACCTAAAACTTTATAACCAGGAAGGTTTTGACTTTTAATTACCTGAATCGGTTTTACTTTTCTCAAATATTTTATTTTTATCCAGATATAGCGATCAATAGTCCCAGGGATCTCGGAAGCAAAATGGCGGCCGTCTAAACACGACATTTCCTACTAAATTCGGTTGCCGCATACGCGGAACTCTGACTTACAATCTCAATTCCGTTTGGATATTTTTTAACAACAAGTGGTTGAAATTCATCGTTAATACTAACATCCTTGATTTCATGTATTATTTATTCAAAACTTTGCACAACGTAACCACATCTGATCCGCCTTGTCTGTATGACCAACACACCACGTCGAGTAGAATTTGATATTCCCGAATCTGGATTGAAATTTCCACAACTAACTACCATAGTTGTGTTATATAATAATTAGTTGAATAATATAATATGTTATTTCGTGTGGATCTGTTTGCGTTTCTTCAACAGAATGCTGTCAATATCCATCAAATTCGGCTTAATTCGCAAACGGAAATAATTGGCACTGCCAACTGTTCAAGTACTGTTGGCCAGAAATTTTCGCTAAATACTTACGAAAGCACAAGTATTGCATGTGTTTTAAAAAGCAGTGTTAAATAGTTTCAAAACTAAAAACTACTTGAAACTTCTGGGAAATCATAAATATAGAAAATATCTTGTTTCTAGCGCATTGCCAACAACAAAAGACGACAGGTCACGCACACCGTTGACCATTACGTTTAATGTTTTACGCGTTGTATACCTTGCAACTGTTATATTGAGGCTTTATATGATCATATCAATTCTGGTTTAAAAACCTTATTTCCACAGCAACCTTACAAATCTTGATTTTCTTTCTGCAAGTTTAATAATTGGTAAGACTCAAATGAGTCAACAATAATAATATCGTAATTTCTTTCCGTCTGGCGTCTGCGCGTTTATTTTGTTCTAAAAATATTTCATTATGCTGTCAAGCCTCAAGAATATAAGGTATAAGACTTGTTAGTACGACCACCGAGAGTGGTGTAATCAAATTACCACGTTTCTCCCAGCCCTACACACAACCCGAAACGCGCACGCGCACACTTTGCTTCATTCTATATTCTGGCGCCAGTTGTCATCAAAAGCCGGTTGTTCTAACCCTGGGTCAAAATAGAACTTTCCAACAGCTTCTTTATAAAATTAAATAGGTTTTCCAGAAATCTTTTTTGGATCAGTAGATGTTTTTTTTTAACTTTTGAAATGAACGGTCTTACTGAAATACCCTCAAAACAGCGGGTTAAAACAACCCATGCTAGGTCAGTGCTAATCGAGCTTTGAACAACCGGCCCATGGACTATGTTTGTTGCAATTATATTATTATATTACCATTTATACAATCGACTTCAACGTACAGTATTATAGAACATAAATATGAAAATCAGGAGGATGAGCAGTCACATTCTCTTACTTATTCATCGCTTATATGCATTTAACACATATCGCTCAATAGACGAATGAAGGTTTAGTTGAAGTTAACTGAAATTCAAACAGTTCCCAACCCGACACTTAGAAGGGTCTGGAGAAAATATTTCACCCTCCCTGCTAATGAAAAATGTACAAGAAATTTTTGCACGGAAGAAATTTTACTTAATTAGAATGACCTACGCGGCAATCCTGTGCAAGGGCAATATACCAATTTTATTTTGCAAGTAACTTTTAATGAACAGGATTAATTTGGAAAGTTCTTACGTGATCCAACAGGAACATGGCTTGATATAACTGTTGCATATTTTTGCACATGTCTACTCCAATGGTATCGCGCGTTTTTAGTGCCGTTCGCTTGCCATTGTGTTTAGGGTAGTGACAGGATAGGCGAGATGGTCTGCACTGCTTTCCAAGAGTTAGTCGGTGCTTTGTACAGATTCACATTGCATCTATTTGTCCCTGGCGAAGATTGACTATTCCTGCCCTTAAAAGGATAACTCTACTTCTGTTAGTGTTTCAGAAGAAAGATGGTTAGTTCGAAGGTGATGTTTTATGTCACTTTGACATTCTGTCAGACGAATTAGTCCTCGCTGCAGCAAGAGTATTCTTCTTTTCCTCCGATAAAACAACATAGCGAAGACATCGTTGAATCGATAATATTAATGGGACAGAACTACGTTTGCAATAATATAATATTAGAAAAAAGCATCGATGTAAAAGCTAGAAGCGCCCAGTGACGAAACTGATTAATGATGACTCATATGTATGTTGATTTCAATTATGCATACCGGAAGTATAGTACCGTGATGGAAAAATATATGGGAAAGTATTTAAATAATAAGATTTTTGATAATAGTAGAAATATATAAAGCAGGAATATTGCTGGTCACTAGGGAATATTCCCGGTTTTTACTAAACTTTCATCATCACACATTTGTTTACCAAACTTGCAAGGTACAACGCGTAAAACATTAAACGTAATGGTCAACTGTGTGCGTGACCTGTCGTCTTTTGTTGTTGGCAATGCGCTAGAATCAAGATATTTTCTATATTTATGATTTCCCAGAAGTTTCAAGTATTTTTTAGTTTTGAAACTATTTAAAATTGCTTTTTTAAAACACAATACTTGTGCTTTCGTAAGTATTTAGCGAATTATTCTGGCCAACAGTACTTGAACAGTTGACAGTGCCAATTATTTCCGTTTGCGAATTAAGCCGAATTTGATGGATATTGACAGCCTTCTGTTGAAGAAACGCAAACAGATCCACACGAAATAACATATTATATTATTCAACTAATTATTATATAACACAACTATGGTAGTTAGTTGTGGAAATTTCAATCCAGACTCGGGAATATCAAATTCTACTCGACGTGGTGTGTTGGTCATACATGTGTTTGTAATTGCTAAATAGCTACACTGTGAAATTGTTTGTATAGTCGTTGAGCAAAGCACAAGGGAAACACTTGTGGCCAGTCTGCGTATTATATATAATTAAAATGTAAAGCATGCAAATGTTTGTATTTGGAAATCCAAATATTTGTATATAAAAAAATGACGCGATGTTTGCATGTGAAGGGCAACAACTAATATAGAAGCAAACGGTTCGTTTGAATAATATTAAGATAATTATGGCCAAAAGCCGTTAATCGTTCGTAATACGTAATACTGAGCGACTGTGAAGTAAACTTCATTTGCATTCCCAATGCGAGCTTACATATGTGAATGCCCTTTAAACACTGCAATTGGTCTTAACATATATATATATATATATATATATATATATATATATATATATATATATATATATATATATATATATATATATATATATATATATATATATATATATATATATATATATATATATATATATATATATATATATATATGTTAAGTTGTGTAATTGTACACTCCGTAATATGTTATGAAAATGTTTTAGAGTGTGTATTATATAATTTCCATACCGAGCGCAAGCAGAAAGATGTTGTCTGCCGCGGCTGGGTCTTGAACCCGAGACCTTCGAATTACTAGATCGACGCTCTACCAACTGAGCTACACGGTCAGACGGATTTAAGACTGGAAATTATGAAATATATACTGAATGTTATAAACAAACTCGTTTATATTAATTCAGCACCGAACAATACTAGTTCTGCAAGTGTTATGTTAAGTTGTGTAATTGTACACTCCGTAATATGTTAAAATGAAAATGTTCTAGAGTGTGTATTATATAATTTCCATACCAATACAAATATATATATATATATATATATATATATATATATATATATATATATATTAATACTGTTAATCGTATCAACATGAAACTAAAACAACTGAAAGATAAAGACAAACTAGAAGAAACCAACTACAAGAGAATTCGACCAAACGATGCATCCACTGCTAAATTTTACGGACTACCGAAAATACATAAAGAAAACATTCCTGTACGACCTATTGTCTCCCTCCCAGGATCACCTACATACGAGCTATCAAAATATCTTGCTATGATCCTTCATCCTCTTGTCAAAACATCTCCTCATACAATTAATAACGCTAATACTTTCCTTACTAATATTAAAGATCTTAAACTTGAACCAGACGAAATCATGATATCTTTTGACATCGTTTCTCTTTTCACTTCCATACCACTAGACACAGCAAAATGCATCACGAACGAACTGCTTACTTGTGACGAATCGTGGCAAACCAGAACAAAACTAGACAAACACAACATTCTTGAACTACTTGATCTGTGTCTTTCCACTGAATTCTCATTCCAAAACTCTTACTACAGACAAATTTCGGGTACACCTATGGGATCTCCTCTTTCTAGTTTCCTTGCTGAAGCAGTCATGCAGGATCTAGAAAAGAGATCCGTTACTATAACAATAACGATATTAAAACATGGAACAGATACGTAGACGACGTCCTTGCTACAGTTAAGAAAGACAAGACTGACGACATTTTACATACTATAAACAATACTACAGAAAATATAAAATTCACGAAAGAAGAAGAAGATAACAACCAACTTGCTTTCCTTGACATTTTGTTGACAAGAACTGATGACGGCACGATTAACACACAGGTCTACCGTAAGAAAACGCACACTGACCAAATACTGAATTTTAACAGCAACCACCCTACTCAACACAAAATAAGCTGTATAAGAAGCTTATTCAACCGAATAGATACGCACTGTAGGACAGAACAAGCTAAACAAACAGAACGCAAATATCTATACTCGACTTTCATGAAAAACAACTACCCTAGGAACTTCATTAACAAAATATAACAAAAATACGTAACAAACAACAGAGTAACATACCTGACGAACAACCTGAACAATCAAGGACAAGAATAACTCTACCTTACATAAACAGTACATCTGAAATGACCGCCAGATTATTGCGACCTTTCAACATTGACGTAGCACACAAACTGGCACATAAACTTAGGTCATATTTCACAAAACACAAAGACAAAACAGCATCAAAATAAACAAAAAATGCTATATACATGATACCTTGCAGAGACTGTCCAGAACGATATATATTTCAAACCTCGAAAAAAGTTGAAACACGAATAACTGAACACAAAAACGCCATAAAACGATACGATTATAAATCACTACCTGCAGCACACACATACGACAACTGCCATACCTTCAACTGGACAGAAACGGAACTATTAGGACGAGCACAAACAAAACACGCACGTGAATTTAAAGAGGCATGGTACAGTATAGACGGTAATACAATTAACCGACACGTTGAAATTCCCACTGTTTACTTACAACTTAAAACAACACGTAAATGCCCTACTAATAACAACGATACTATGACTAATACTAACTTCCAAATAACACTTCCTTCAACATCCGCCACACAACAATCCAAACATTCCAATGACGCCATCCCTAGCAGAAGAATTCACTCAACCATGACAACGCATTCTTCAACCAGCAATGAGATCAGATCAACCGCGGAACAGCCAATTAGACGGTCTCGACGTATACAAGAACGTAGCAACACCGCAAAACTTTAATTAAATAATGTACATATGTAATGTTAATCTCAGTATTCTGAAGAAGGCTCGATGTATCGAGTCGAAAGCTCAATAAAAGTATATTTCAATAAAATTATATATATATATATATATATATATATATATATATATATATATATATATATATATATATATATATATATATATATATATATATATATATATATATATAATTCAATTTATTTTGGTTGTCTAGATATATAAAGTGCTCAATACTAAAAGTATAGCAGAGCTTATTAGATTGTCTATATCTTAAAATTAAATATCGCTACTGTGAGTGAAACTCAGAGTAGCGATATTTAATTTTAAGATATAGACAATCTATATATATATATATATATATATATATATATATATATATATATATATATATATATATATATATATATATATATATATATATATACCAAAGTGGAGTGACTTTATATCTGATATATATATATATATATATATATATATACCAAAGTGGAGTGACTTTATATCTGATAAAACTCGTCTTCATTAGTATTCTTTATATAATTGTTCATCCTAATTAGTATGATTATATAGTAATTGTTCATCCTAATTAGTATTCTTTTGTAGTCGTATTTTAAGCTATTCAAAACACTCGAACTCGCGTTTTATCATATTATCTAAAACGCTCTGCTGCGCCTCGCGTTTTAAATATGATAAAACACTCCTTTTCGTGTTTTAAATACTACATATATATTGAGTACATTATATTACTTTCAATAGGTGCATCCTAGAACAATTTACCTCCATGAATGTGAGCGTGATAAAGAAGTGTTTGTGAGTTTAAGACCTCACCTACCTATCCGTGGAAGACCCTTCAAATTTGAGATTTTTTACGATGGTTCAAAGCATCAAAATGTAGTGGGGAAAATATGTGTACGGGGGACGGAAGTGCAAAGACGTTGTGTAAGCGAACTGACAAACAGGCACTCCATTTATCGACCTTCATGGATCAGAATAACAGCGATATGTCCTAAAACAGACAGTGCAAGGACCACCAACGAAGTCGATGTCGATTTTCATAACACATTTGGTGATCCATTTTCCAACCTGTTTTGGGGCAGTTACAATTTCCTACCTATTAAGGTAACTAGAAAATACATGCATGCAGTAACCCTCGCCTTGCTGAATTCCAAACATGAACTATTGTCATGGTAACACGGTAATTTTAAGAATAGTTTTAAAATTGAAAAATCCCCCGAAATATCACTTTTAATTACAAAATGATCAATTTCCCAAACATATATATGCTAGGTATGTTATTATACGTAATATAAGCTTCAATTTAATGTGAAATTCAACCACAAACGCTTCGCAAAACGTTTTAAAATGTTCTTAAAACTAAAAGCAAACAATACTGATCAAATTAAAGACAAACGTACCTTCATTAACGCCGGCGACTTTGCTCCATTCTTTTAGACGTTTTCAGACGGTTTTTGGTTCTCAAAAAGGTTTTTGAAATTTGCAAAATCTTGCAAAAACCGAAGCAAAAATTAAACACAAAATATTAGCTGATTTGCAAGAAATGTTTGTTATTTCGCTGTCGTCATTTGTCATACAACAACAAATTTTAAATTTGACGAATCAGTGTTCGCTATTCATGACAGTCCGCCACATATTTTGAGATCAGCGAGGATGACCACCCACTGAACATCGTTGGTCACCCACGCCCGCGATCATTGATGAACTTCAGACTTCGCTAATGCTTTCGTTTCCCCGGGTGTAAATAGCCGGGCGGATTTAGTACCCTCGCCGTTGGCCGGGGATAAAAAAAGATATTGAAATGACTTTTTACGGAATACCAAAAAACGAATTTTTAGTCTTACCTATTCAATTCAAGAAGCGACGTAAATATATATTAACTATTAAAATTAACTATGAAGAGAAATTTAAACTTTTCAGAGCTGCAGTGGTAACTTGTTTGTCTTTGTAGTCATTGCTCGTAATAGCTATATAAAAATTCATAATTACATCTTTCTTGGTTAATTCATAATTCATCCCAATTCCCACACGTTTGCATTCTTAGATACTTTTTAAATTTTTAGATATCACTAACTTCGAGAGGCACAAAGCTCTGTAAATCTACAACGGATCCAAATATTTATACATTTGATAATCGGTATCGTATTCTATTCCTGTTTAAATATATGTTCTTGCCACGAGATGACACTGCACTCACATAATTAAAAAGAACTATAGTTTATGATATAGTTATAGTGCTTTAATATTATATTTGTTTATTTATTTTTACTTAAATATCTAAATTCCGAAAGCTTAGATATTTACAGGAAATTTATATACTGAAATTTCACTTTTTTTAACCTATTGTTTAGATATTACAATCCTGGTATGGCTGGCAAAGAAGGAACATTTCGTCTCTATCGTAACAGATACTCAGGGACTGAGGTAAACCTTACCGTCCATTGCACATATCCACAGATAGCTGAGATAGACAAGTAGTAATATACAGGTAGTTCGGGCCCCTTTTTGGGGGGCGCCGATTATTAGTGCAAATGGGGTGCCGCAGGGCGGAGGAGGGCGAAGGAAGGATGCGCGCGTATGTCATATAATGTTTGCATGACGTCATATAATGCATGCATAACATACCTGAAATGAGAGTGAGCTAACTTAATATTCGTGAGGGTAAGGAATTAATTTATATTCGTGATTGTTCATGAGGGTAAGGTGGATTGAGGCTGAGGAGTATTATATATGCAAGACGTCGTAGAACAAGACTGGACGAGTTTATACGAAACAATAATTATGCTGAACTTAGCGTTTTTACAACAACAGGTCTTATTCCCGATGCCTATGATATATATATACGTGCATTGCCTGAGTCAAACATCGCAAACATATATTTATAGAAATATATCTGGCAGATAGGCATAGTATTAAAAGCGTTCCTAAAGTTTTATACGAATATTCGAGTATGCTGAGAAGTGGATCCTGTATGTCGTTGCAAGTTTTTTTAACAACGATTTGCGTCTTCGCAGCATTCTCCACTTTTCCCTTGCTTTGCGGGTGGTAAGGATTAGAGGTAAAAAATGGTTAAAATTCCATCCGTCACTGAAATCTTTAAAACGTTCGCTGTTGAATGGCGTGCCATTATCACTCATCACCCTAGTAGGAATATGTCGAGCAAACCACGACTTCAGTACGGTGATGACACGCGATACCACTGTGCTTATCATGTCTTGAACTTCACGTCTTCGACTAAACCATCCAGAATAATAATCCATCGCTATTAGGAATGTCTGTTTGTCCAACTTGAATAAATCTATTCCGACTCTCTCCCACGGTATAGTTAGGCGCTTTGTTAGGGTACAATAGTTCTTGGCACTGTTCTGGTCGATATCTGTTACAAATTCCACATTTAGGTCTAGTTGAATCAGCTTAAATAAAAATGGGGTCCGCAGGGAAGATTTGCCACGGGCCCCGCGAATTTTCTCGGCGGCCCTGAGTTGTACCTTTCTCGCACGCAACTGTGAGCTGTCTGTGATAAGCCACGCCTATATTTGTGGAAGGCCACGCCCATTTAGTCGGTAAAATCGGGATACAGCACTGGCAACTGCGATCATCCCTCTTCCGGGGCTAGGAATTTCAATATTATGAACATCTGGAAGTATCGAAAATAGGAGGCATTTACTAAGTTATACGATTTACTATTACCTAACGTATTTACTAATACTTATGTCAATATTAATGTTGTATAAATTTTATAAACAAAATTTGTGATATTATTTAGTGTTGTAGCACCCGAGTTATTTTTGTCATTTATACTTACATTTCTCTGGGTATGCCCTTAAATATATTAGTTATATTTGCGAACAGTTTTCCAAACATAAACCTATAGACTTTTTGCAGGTACAAGCAAGGCTCGATAAATGTTGCAACTGTGGAGTGGCTATTAAAGAAGGATATTATTTCAAAATTATTGAATTGTGCTCCAGTATTATGGCAGGAGATCCAATAATTATAGCGAAGACAAGATACACTTCAGATATGGCGAAAAATGGGTTTTATACGGAAAGGGCGTCAAAAGATTTTAACGCCGGTGAAAGTATCATAGTAAGTAGTGAGGCATGATAAATGCTAGAATGTTTGCTATCAGTGGCATAACTTTGGGCTAGGGATCTCCATCCTTATTTGAAAAGCCCCTGGTTTTGATTCAATCGACACTTTTCTACTCAACGCGACAATGAAGAAAGTATACACTGATTAAAATTGGGCCAGGGGAAATTTGCCACTCTCCCCTCCCCTTTCTGGGCGGTTCTGGCTTGACAAGAACTTCACAGACGTTGATTTCTGTATTTTCTTATTTTTAGGATTTTAGTATCGTAAGTTTTTAAACTTTTTGTTGTGTAGCTTGAAAATTGCCTTCACTCTTTTGCTGTTTTTTGGCGCGAAAACCGGAGAGGTTCCGTATTGGTGTGACAGGGATCTTCGGTAATCAGCTAATCAGAATGCTCGCTCCATTACGGACCTATAGTTAATAGTTAAGCTGGTTCACATATACCTGCGGTATGTGGGCGGCCTATTGTCGTTAGCAGTTCACCCAAATAATTCACAAAAGAATGTATGCATCAACAGCTGTAAACAATGATAGCGCAGGCAGGGGCGGATCTAGGATTTTTCGTACGTTGCTGAACATCGGGGGGGGGGGGTTCTTTTAACGGGGGGGGGAGGTCGCAAAGGAATTAATTTGCATCCTGTTTTACGAAAAAGTGTTACGCATTTGTCTTTAAATTAATTTACAAGAATGGTCAAAAGATTTTTAAATATAGCGATGGAGTTTTATAAAACATTTGATTGATTGTTAATTCGCTGGAAGAGAATTTTCACGTTTAATTCACTGCTTCTCGAGTTGGCAGAAACATGTGCCATGAATGAAGTATTCACCATAGACGGATTTTCATATTTTTTACTGGGGTGGTGCCAGAAATTTTAGGGGGGTGAGCCGTGAGCAGGTGACTGAAGCAACACAACGTGTCACCAAACCCCAGTAAGGTCTATATTCTAGGGGTGGAGCACTAGAGCCGCGAGTCTAGAGAGCAGAAAACAAAGTATCCCTGGAAAAATTTGAAAAAAAATCATGATTTCTAGCTTCGAAAAGTTTTTTGAAGTTGTCATATCAATGGATTTGGCAGGGGCGGATCCAGCCAAAAATCTGACCGTAGCATTTTCCAAGACCTCGCATAGGTAGGGGGGTCCGGGGGCATGCCCCCCGGAAAATTTTTGAAATTTGAAGCCCGGAAATGCCATTTCCTGCGTTCTGAGCACTGCATGTGATCATTAAATTTGCCCTCATTGTATTCATTTCTCAAGCAAAAATAAGCCGAAATGATCTCAAAATGTAAACTATTGCTCGCGTATATTTTAACATACGATATCGGTATGATACTCGTATCATACGCATATCATCAATTGAATACCGAAATGCGCGTATCATCTACGAACGCGTGTATCATACGAATGCGCATATCATATGAACGCGCGTATGATATGAATACGCGTATCTTACGAATATATACGCATTACAAACAAATATTAGCGCGCTATAAACACGATATATATACGCGCGTATCATAATTCGCGTATTAATTCCAATACATGCAGGTATACTGTACATACGCGCACAAACACTTTAATAAAGGGAAGTTAATAGCGAACACTATACAGTAAAAACTCAAATTAAAATATAATGTGCATCTCTTATCATTCATAAGGCTTACCTGACTGGAAATTATTCGTTTTACTATCTGATTTTATTTCTACCTTGACGCATATAAATCCTTTAGCTTTACGACGGCTTTCATTTCGAAATGCGCACAACCGTACTGTGGGTTCCCACTATCATGTTGTTGATGAGCCAAACACAAATATCAGATATTCCATCGTTCTGGAGCAGTAGCCAATTTCATGCCACCGTAGCAAACTATAGCATTTGCCCCATTCCGATTGGTTTGCTACGTTTGACCGTAGCAAACCAATCAGAATGCCGTATATGCCAATTTTCGCTACGGTCAGATTCGAACTTAATGAATCTGACCGTAGCGAAAATTGATCATATATGGGCAACACGCTACGGTGTATTTCTGAAGGATGATATTTTCTAAGCTATAGTCCATTGCGTAATGACCCGCAAACGGGCAATTACAACCGTATTTTCGGGAGGGAATTCTTAAAACAATTAACGTTACGTATTATAAATGTCATCAATTTGTCAAAATAAAATGTTTTCGAACATATAAAACTAAATAAAATAAAACCTTGAAATATAAACAAGGAAAGTAAACAAAATATTGCTAAATTATATTTTAGATTGATTTTATGATCCATGTTAGAACTGGCCTATGGAAAATCTGACCGTAGCATATGCTACAGTTGCAACGGTCTAAATCCGCCCCTGTTTGGCATGTCCGACTTGAGAGAATTAAAGTTAAATGAACCTGTAAAAGTGTAAACCCAATAGGCCAATACACAATATGCTTTTACTTTTATAAAGTCATTGACATTGTGTCGTTTGAATCCGAGTACAATTTATGATGCAACTCCGATGTAAATAATATTTGGGGCGTAAATATTAAATCTAGGCAAGTCTATTTCCTAAAAGAATTAAAAACTATTTGAATTTGAATTTGAATTTATTGAAATTTTCAAATGGCAGGTTGCTATCAAATGATTGGCAATCTGAAAAACTTGAAATTACATAATACTATATGATTAAAAATACGTAATTTGGAATACAACTATTTAAAAAATATGCTCATGATAATACTTTACTATATACTATACTATCTTCACGCATGTAAGTTTACTAACTACCCAGAGAATCCCACTTTGCAACACAGTACGGAATAAAACTATTTCTAAAACGTTCAGTCCTACATTTAAATAGAGGATATTTCCTTGGATTCCTTAAACTATACTTATG